GGCACCCAGAGCGCCACCGTCCTGCTGCTGCCAGGTCAGGGGGCCTGTCGTGGAGGGAGACAGGGTGTCTGAGGGGAGCCTCCTGGATCTGAGGGAAGGGGGTGCTGGGTCTGGAATAAGCGGCTGGGAGTGGGGCCCTTGGCTTCCTGGCTGAGCCAGCCCTGAGCGGCTCCACCAGGAGCGGGAGAGTGAGTCCTCTGCCCTTCTTCTCTGCAGGAAGGTCGGGGCCAGGGGTGTTGCTCGCAGCCCTTGGAGGTGCTGGTGCAGTGGCCCTGCTCTCTCTCTGTCTCTGCCTCCTCTTCTTTTGCATGTAAGTCTTGGTCCCGGAGTTGTAATTCAGGATCTTTAAGATGCTGAGAAGGAAGGCCTCCAATGATCAGGATGGAAATGAAGATTTTACTACTCACAGACCCTGGGTTTGGGGGTGGGGTGCCTGAGGTCATGCACATGGCAGTCAAGGAGCACCCTGGCTCCTTGGGGGGTGGGTAAGGCATTATCCAGACAGGCGGATTCAGGGGGGTTTAATGGAGCAGGTGAATGTGAGCCCCAGGGAGTCACATTCACAGGGTGACATCTGTGTGTCCATGCAGGGTGTGGGGGCAGGGGCCACTCAGGTGTGCTGTCTGCAGCTGTGATCCCCAGGAGGGAGGGGCTGAGGCAGATGTCTGGTGGAGCACACTGAGGGAAGGGAGGAGGTGGAGAGCTAGAAACTGTGGCTGAGCCCCGCTTCCAGCATCAGGAGCTCAGGCCAATGCAGAATGGCTGCTGAGGCCCCACCAGATCGCGAGAATCCACCAGGAAAGGACAGGGAGGTACGCGGCAGTGAGCAGGCGAGGGGCCCCTGGATCCCAGAAGCGCCACACTCAGTAGATGCAGAGGGGCCTGTGTTCTCCTTCCTGACAGCCGTATTGGTCCTCACTGCGTGTACTTGCCATCTAAGGGCTGAAGGTGAATAGCTCAAGGGCTTTCAGCGTGTTCACAGAGGAACGCACCCATCACCACCATCGCCACCATCAATTTAGGTTTTCATGAGGCCAAAGTGAAAAAGGGTTCCGCTCCCTCTCGTCGTCAGCCCCCCTGATTTTCCTCCCGCCCTACCCTCTTCTGTCCCTGGCTTGGCGTAGGTGAAACCCTATGGTACCAGTCCTTTGCGTCTGGATCCTCTCACTTCGCACAGTGTCTTCAGGGTTCTCCCACGTTGCAGCCCGTGTCAGAGCTTCAACCCTCTTGGTTCCTAAAGGGCACTGCTTGGGGACTGGAGCTGGAGTGGAGGAGCACGTGCCCACCATGCTCAGGGCTCTGGTTAGATCCCAGCACTGGAAAAAGAAAACAAGACTCCAGTGATATTCCACCGTACGGATGACACACATTTCCTTCACCCATTCACTATGTGATGGGCACTTGGGTGGCGTCCACCTCTTGGCCATCATGAATAACGCTCCTATGATCGTTCATAAGCAAGTTCTTACGTAGAAGGGGGTCCTGTAGGAGTGGAAATGCAGGCCCAGGCCACTCAGCCCCGTCCCTGGGTGGGCACGTCCAGGCCTCTGGGTCGGCTGGGTTCTCCATCTTCGCGGGGCAGAGGCAGGCTGCCCACTTGTGCTGGAGCTGGTCCGACTGCCTGTGTGTTCCTTCCCTCAGAGTGAAGTCCTGCAGAAAGCACGGGCCTGGGAAACCAGAGGTCATGGATGACAGGGACCCTGTCATGGACACCGTCCCCTGGGTGAGTGATGTGCGTTGGGTCATGGGGCGGGGCGGGGAGGTCTGTGCACGTCCACACTGAGGCCTTCAGCATTTCCCACACCTGCTCCTGCCTGGTCACCTGGCAGAGACCCAGGCGGTGCCCTCTCTCCTGTTCTTGCCCTTCATCTCCCGGAGCCAGTAACGGCTACGTCTGCCCAGCCTTCCTTCTAAGAAAGCTAACTGGCCCTCGACTCATCCTCCTGCCCGAACTCTGCTGGACACTCAGTCTACCTCCCTCCTTCACCCTGGACACAGGCTGCCAGAACCTTCTCCCCAAGGCTCTTACCTTCCAGCCTACCAGAGCCCCGAGTTGTTGTCCCATTGCTGGGAGAATCAGGTCCGCACTCCCGGGCCCATCACCTGATGGCCAGCCCCGTCTGTTCCCTGCCCTCTGGTCCAGCCACAGTGGCCTTCTCACTGTTCGCACACAGAGACACACACTTGCAGCTCTGACCTCGGCAGGCACAGCTCCTCCTGCCTGGAACACCCTTTCCTCCCCCTTTCCACCAGGCCCCCTGGTCTAACCCTCGGCTCTAACCTCCACTCCAGGAAAACCCTGTCTTCCTCCCTGCGGGCATCCCCCCGCCATGTCCCCAGGGTCCTGCAGGCCTCCCTGTGCTGAGGGGCTCAGGATGCCCTCTTCACCTGTCTGCACCCTCTCACTGTATTGGTGACATTCTTCAGGACCAGGGCTGGCTCTCCCTCAGCCTGCTCCTGACTAGCATGTTCCCCTTTATAGAACCAGGTCCACGTTACCCTGGATGGAATTACCCACGGTGCTTGGTTCCTGATAAGCACTTAGCCCAGGAACAAGCATTGTTCACTCTTACTCCCTCATTTTTATTCATAATATGTGAAACACCGGGAGGGAGCCTTCCTTCCAGCCCGATGCGAAGGTGTGGGCGATGGCTGACACCTTACCCCTGCCTGTGTGGCTGCTTGGTCCCCGCCCAGTGCTGCTGTTCTGGGTCTCCTCTTCCTAGTGCTGACAAGTACATATAAGAAGCACACTCCACTTGGTTTTTCCCAACCCACAAAGGGCGCCCTGTTCTGCTCACTCTTCTTGGACTTGCTTTGTGGACTCTGGATCACACTGATGATTCAGACACATTATTGTGTAGAACTGCAGCTTATTTTTCCCTCCTGTACAATAGTTTATCTTGTGATCATGTCGATTATCTAGGCTCAGACAGATGGACAGTTGAGTTGTTTCCAGATTCAGGGAGTTTTTCTTTAGCATCATGTGGGAATTGAATGCCTGGGTCACGGGTATGTGAAGGTCCATCTTTACAAGATTGTGACACACACTTTCCCGAAGCCCTGGTATCCACGTACACCCCCACCTGTGCCTGTGAGACCCAGGAGGTACGCCCACAGTCTCTGCAGCTTGGTTTTACCGCTTGTCTCAGTGTGTTCTCATCTCACTCTCTCACTACGGTGTCGGTTTGCATTTCCTTGGTGTCCAGGAAGATGAAAATTTCTACATTTTCTCTGGCATGTCACACCTCTCTATGCAATGCCTGTCACATCCGGAGCCCGTTCCTCTACTGACTGTTCAGTCTTGTCAGATTGAACTTGAATTTGTTGGGGGGCTTTATGTATTGATACACTAATTTTTTTTCTGCAAATGTGTACCTCCCAGTGAGTAGCTGGCCTTCACTTTTCCCAAGGTGACCTTGGGTGAACGTAAGTTCTTAATTGTAAGGTGATCATCTTCATGGATCATCTTTATTCTACTGAGTGTCTTTTAAGAAAATCTTTCCCATCCCAAGATTGGGATATTTGGGTAAAGTTTCTACTAAAATTTTCATATTTTGCTTTTCACATTTAAGTGCTGAACCTACCTGGGGTTGGTGTCTGTGTGTGGTGTGCAGTGTGTACCCACAGGTACTTCCTGTGTCGACACACATGCCACTCTGTCATGCATCCTCATACCATGTAGGAGTGGGCCCCTTCTGTGGCCTCTGCTATGAAGCAATGACCAAGTTTATTGTCTCTGAGCCAGAACAGTCTAGGAGTAAACAGAGAGGCCCTGATGTCTAGTCGGGCAAGACCCCTCCTCGGTCTCCTTCCACAAATGGTCTTGGCTATTCTTGGCCCTTTGGTTTTCATGTGACTGTAGAATCAGTTGGTCAAGTTCTAAAACAGACTTCTGTGGTGTTTTCATTGGAGTTACATTGAGCCTGTTGGTCAGTTTGGGAAGAATTTGCTTATTTATGAATCCTTCTTATCCACACAAGTGTATTCGTCTTAAATCTCTTTTAGTGTTTTCAAGGAAGATGTAGGATTTCTCCACACAGGGCTGGTTCCTCTTTTGATGTTTCTTCCTAAATGTGGTTAGGGTTGCTATTATAATATCTATCTTTTAAAAAGTGTATTTTTAAAAATTTCATATTGCCTAAATGATGAGTGAGAGCCTTTTTTTAAAATGTGAGGGATTTTTTTGGCAATAAAAAAATATGACAGGCAGGACTTTGGTGTCATTTAGGGTCTCATTCCTTTGGTAGCTGAGGAATTCTTAGGTCTTTTTCCTGCTGATGTGTTAATGACTGATTGATTGACTGGTTGCAGTGCTGGGGATTGAACCCAGGCCCTCGCTCCTGCTTCACTAATGCTCTGCCCCTGAACTACACCGCCAGCCCTTTTTATTTTTTATTTTGAGACATGGTCTTGCTAAGCTGCTGAGCCTGGCTTTGAACTTGCCGTCCTCCCACCTCGGTGTTTCAGTCAGCGATTTGGCTGCTGTGACCGAAAGACCTGACAAGAAGAATTTTAGGAGGAGCAGGTTATTTGGGGCTCATGGCTTCAGAGGTCTCAGTCCATAGAGAGCCAGCTCCACTCATTCCTGGGGGCTGCAAGTGAGGGCAGAACCGCATGGCAGAAGAGCGTGGCGGAGAGAAGCCACTGGAGACACCAGGAAGCAGAGAGAGACGGACAGACAGACGGAGGGGGAGATCCCTTCCTGGACAAAATATAAACCCGAGGGGCAGGCTCGGTCACCCCACCTCCTCCAGCCAC